CGCTAATTCACGCTTGGGCTTGGCGCAGTTAAGCGCTGGACGTGGTGGCGATAAGTCTGGGATAACTACCTCGTCCATTCATGCTCGACCTGCGTTCGGGCGAAAAACATCAACATCTGCTGCCATGGCCTCACGTGCTCGGCGATGCTCTCCTCGTCCATGTATGCCTGCAACGGGGTGTGCCGGGTCTGGTGTCGCTCTGTGCGGATGGCCTCGATGCGGACGAAGTGGCCCAGCCGTGTGATGACTCGCTGGCTGGTACGGGCAACCTGCCCCATGGCCTCCCGATGGCCCTCGCGGCCAGTTCATCTGGGCACGTGGTGTCATCCTCGGGCCGCTGCACGCAGTTGACCAGATCATTGGGTGCGATGTTGGTCAAGTACACCGGCCATCTGGTCCGCCGCAGCCATGGGTTGGCTTCATCGTGCTCCCCGGCCTGGATGACATTGCTGGTCTGCCGTTGCTGTTCCCGGTAAAACCGCTCCAGCTCATCAATGACATGGCTGGCTCTGTTCTGGTCTGGCGTGCCGGTGTGCTCAGTAGTCTCCTTAGTCTGGATCTGTATGTAGTGGGAGCCCTTGCGCGATGCAAATACCTGCTGGAACTGCACCTTCTGGCATGATCTGTCCACCTCATCCTGTGCTGCCGTACGCTTTTGTGGCGCTGTACGGCCACGGCTGGGATATGGCGACCAGCTGTGCTTGTTCTGCCAGTGCTTGCGCATGGTGTTCATGTTCCCTGCCACATACTGACACTGGGGATCCCGCTGGCACCTGTAGCCATCTTGAATGGGTAGTTCCGGGATTGGTTCATTCAGTATTGTGGGCAGTGTTAACTGTGTAGTATGTGGGCAGTGTTAACTGTGTAGTATCTCGAGCCACATTGTCCCACTGTTCAATGTTCTCCTTTATCTGCTGAACCACCGCATGCTTTAGCTGATGGGCCTTGCCTTTCAGATGCTGTTCAATCTCTGTTGGCCACACAGCGTGCTTGCACCGGCGGCATATGATAATGAGGTATGATTCACAGTGGATAAATAATCGATGTTCCATGTCGATGTTGGGTCTGTCTTGTGCATTGAATATATATATATTTCCTTCATTCAGTGTCTTTGTGTGAAACTTGACAGATCTGATCTGGTGTGAATGTTTGTTTTTCTGTGGTTAAAATCACTCCAGAATGAAGCCTTTCAGTTTTCTTATATGTTTTGCTATTTTTATTTACTTTGTTGATCTTGCACCGCTTTGCACCGCTCTGTTGCCTGGGTGAAAATATATATATTTAGTTGGGTCTGGTTGGGTTGGTGGCTTACCCCATCAAACATCGCACCTCAACTCATTGACTTTGACACCACAATGTAACCCCTTCCCGGCGGAATTATCGCTTTTGATTTGGATATGTTGTATTTCATATCCACTACGGCCTACATGCAATGTTTGAAGTCAATTGACTCAGTGGTTGATTAGTTTAGTTGCCCTGATTCTTTTCTTGTTGTTTTATCATTTATAATTATTATAGATGATTAAATAGCAAATCATTATACTAAAAGCCTGATCCTTGCAGGCTTGCTACCGCCTGAAGCACAATACCCTGTAAACCACTACCGTAGAGGGGGCGATAGGAGACCCTTGATAGGGAGGGGGTAT